TTTATACCTAGCCGCCTCCGAACGGCGAATGGTTTTTTTACGAGGAGCCTTTATTTCATGTCAGAAATACATTCGGAGGGGTGGATATTCCCTGCCGAGGGGCTACGGTAATTAGAATATTTGGCTTAATTTAAATTAATTTTTCATAACTTTTGGTTGTGGCACCTGGATTTGAAGCCGATCCTTCCCAATGTCAGTTCGCAATGTTAAGCACTCGCCTACCGCACGCGGCTTATTTCCTTACTTTCCAAAATTACCGTTATTCCCCAGGAATGTATCAAAAAAGTTGTTTTAACTATTTTTAAGGTGATGACATTATGACTCTATCATAGAAGCCTTGGAACTATTGGCTTTTCTTGGCCGCTTCAGACAACTCTTCACCAGCCAAATCATTCGTCGTGTGCAGGAACAGATGGTAGCCCTTTGGTACTGGCAAAATACTGACCGCAAATCCTGACATGGAATCGGTCCCACTGCCCTTCGACTACGATTGTTTTCATTTGACGTCGCTGCAAGTGATGCTCTTTTCAACGCCAGTCAGCAGCCGCTTCAGGAATGGGTCAATTTGGTTACGATTCAGCAGCGATTCGCAGATGTTGTTTCCCTATGTATCCAGCCTTTTTCAAGTGGTCACAATGACGGTCAGCGTAGAATATCTTTTGCAACAAACTTACCAGAATTAAATAACAAAAATAATGGATTACTTTTCCCTAGCCTTAATATGGATGACGGATATGGCTAAATCGATTTGTCTTCGCATGCCATGAAGTTTGATATAGATATTCCCAAATCTATCTTGAGTAGTTTACGCCGTTACATACAACCGTTAGCCGAACAAACCTAATAAACCTAAACTATCGGTACATAGTACAGCCGAGTATAAAAATGAACTAATAAGGAAAACTGGAAGCATTTATTCCCCTCAAACCGAAGTCAATTAAATATTAACACAATCGCAATAGACCAGCTGCCATTCCTCCATCAAATCCATCTGTTCCCGCTTGTGACGAACCTTCCGTGCCATCATCTAATCATCGCCTTATTCCTCCAAACCCCTTCACATCTTACTTGATGACGGCTGTTGACGTGGCTGATTACATCTCATGTTGTTAATCAAAACTTACTCGGCTCTCAGTAGAAAGATCTGCTAAACAAATATCTATTTTGAACTTTCAAATTTTTTTACTCATAATTTGACAAACGGTTCTTTTGGCGTGAAAGCCAATAAAATCGGCAAATTTCTAATTTGGAAGGAGCCGCGCGACAGCACTTGGCTTGTAATAATTAATGAGTTTTGGTTTTACTTTAATTGAAGTTAGGTTAACTTGGATAAAAGGCGTGAAGGAGTTGAGTTCAAGCAGAAAAGTTTATGCAACTAATTGTAAGAGGAGTGGGGAGGAAAATATGAAGCAAGGCAAGGGAGATTTCTCCACTATTCTGAATCTGCAGTTGTACGTATTTTAAAACAAATGAAAGACTCTCATATACTCCTCCGTGCTTTCAAAGTGCTTGGGCAAGATATAATAATCCCTCCGCAAACAGAATATGGAGTTTGGTACTATCTACTTGCTGACTTAAGTTCATTTGCGAAACCTGACTTCAAGAAAAGTGTCGGTAGTCTTCGTCCTCAAAGCCGGTAAGGCCACACAAAGTGGTACAAAACACCTCAGCCTCGAGGCCGCTGTATAAACAAATCTCATTTATTGAAAACTCTTTCATCGAAAGAGAAGTCTACCTCGTTATCATTTGAACACGAAAGAAACTTTCTTACCGCAAGCTCTTTAATAGGGCTTGAAGGACTTAGCTGCAAAAAAACATTCCACTAGTTGAATCAGCTACCCTTATGTAAAATTATAACCGCGAGTCTGAAAGAGACATTAACCGGTAAACACTGCTGATGGGTATACCTCGAACAAATAAGATAGCTCTAGATTTGTTCACAAAATCGGTGGCTCTAAGCCAGACAACTATGAACGATTTTAAACTAATGCAAAATTACTAAAATTTCTGTACACGAAACTGAGCTGGAAATTTTTTATCTTTAAACATCAATGAGAAGACTTACATCGGCCTACATCGGCCTCCATACATTTGAGTAAGCAATTTGTGAGAAGTGGCCTTAAGATCAACATTAGGTTAATACAACTGGTATTGCATCGATACTCGCTGTACGGAGGCTTGGGATAAAAATGGTGGCAAATTTCAAACTCTTAAGCCGCCTTGGTAGCCTCGTTCAGGAAATATCGCAAAAGCTGTAAGAGTGCGACTGCATTGGCCCAGAATATGTAGCATTTCCTGCTACACCTTCGACTGCAGCGGCTGCCAGAGGTGGTATTGACCGCGATAATAGCGGGTATCGGTCCAGATATCAGAGTTAACTGCATCAACTTTGAACGGGTTGTTAGTTCTCGTCTAAGGAATTCATCTTTGACTTATCTAGAAACTACCTTCAGTAGCTCTTAGGTGCCAAATTGATTAGGCATACGAATTAGTATACGAAGAAAGCCATCCAAGTGGCTACACTACCTAGGTCATCTTTGTTGTACGAATCCACTCCAGCTCAGTTAAGGGATCCCCTCTATTACCTTGTATTTTCAATTAGCACCAAACAGCGAAAATAAGAAGCGCAGGACGTCGCCTACGCCCACATAGACGAAGGAGACTAGGATATGGGTTTCCGCTCAACCGCGCAGGGTTGTGATACGATGCTATGAACTGACTAAGCCCTTAGACAATGGTTAGAATAACAGAGAAAACTAAAGATTCCTTACTACAGTATGGATCACGATTACTGAAGAGTTGGCACAGTTATCATGGAACGGAAATTAAATACATTGTATCTGAGCTCAGTGTCAGTAGCTAAAGAGCTCTTTATAAGATTAAATATCAACAAACGACAAAGTTGTACAGGTATTAACTCACCTCGCAAACTTAAGCTTAACCCCTTCCCGTCTGACGGATTTTGCAGCATTTAGTTTGGAGCTAAAATTTTTGACATTCGAATATGAAAAGTTCTCCACAGTTAGCCGCTTTCAGTTTGCTACCTGAAATCACAAGTTACAAAATTTTCCAAAGTAAGCAAAAACAACTTCGATTGTTGTTCCTTTTCATATCATACAAGCTTTGCGTCTACTGTAATACTCTGAGTTTGTTTTTGGGCAAATAAGAAAGGGTAACCAAATGCGCAGTTTAAGGTTTGCCCTTCGCAAACACTCACATATACACATACACCTGCACGGCACTGGCACTATTCGCTTGCTAATACTTTTAATTTCTCGAGGACATTCGTGTGCGCCATAAAATCTGTTGTTCAAATTACGCGCAAATATGCCCAAACTCTTGGGGGCTCGACGGTAGTGGGATTAACGAGTGGCTAGGCAAGTGGTGAAGCAAATGTGGTGTTGGTTGATAGCAGTGCTCATGGTTACGTGCAAAAGTCTTATTGCTACCTGAGACGCGTTCGTAGGCGACACACGTTACGGTACATCTGAGTCTCCACCAACCTCATTCCAAACACCGCCTTCTCTTCCCTCGAGCTATGCTAAATAGTTACTTTCGTTTACGATAGCAAAACATTTAGCAGCGTCGCGTCGAAGACTTTTTGACTTACCGACCCCTTCGTTGCAGTCCTTTGTTTATTTATTTGTTAACTTTCCACGAAAAATATTGCCTCTGCAAAAGGTAAAGAGTTGCCAAACAGTACAAATGCTCGCTCGTACGTTGGGTGCGAAAGTTTTAAAGCACATATTTGCGTAAGTTGGCATGTGGGTGTGTATGTATGCTAAAAGAATGTGTATTCAGTGCCAGAAAATCAGAGAACTCTTAACTCTTCGGCTGTCGGATGTCGACTGCAAAACTAATGAAGGTGTATACGTGTGGATGTGTATGCACATGTACCGGCGGATAGATTTGCATAAAAGTTTGGAAGAAACTAAAAGAGCTCGAAATACCAACACTTAAGCGGCTGATGGGGGTTCCATCGCTGCCATCGAATCTGATTATGGTATCGCATGCTTGCCTCCGCACACACATGGAACATTACAAAAGCACTTCATCACCCAATTTTACTCTATTTTAAAACTAATTGCATGCTTAAGCGCCTGAATTAACCTCGGTATGGTCTTATGGAGATAATTCGAACTAACAGGCTAAACAAATTATTTAAACAAAAAAAAAACGAATAAGATATAATATTGTACAACATCGAATTCAACATAAAAAATTTAAAAAAAATTATATAAAGTATAACAAAATAAAATTAAATAAAACAAAATAAAAAATTAAAATAAAATGAAAAAAAAAAATAAAATGGAAAAATAAATTAAAAAAACAAAGTAAAAAATATAATAAAATAAAATAAAAAACTAAAATAAAATAAAATTAAATAAAAGAAAATAAAGTAAACTAAAATAAATTAAACAAAATAAAATAAATTAAATAAAAAAAAATAAAATAAAATAAAATAAAATAAAATAAAATAAAATAAAATAAAATAAAATAAAATAAAATAATATAAAATAAAATAAAATAAAATAAAATAAAATAAAATACAAAAAAAAAATAAAATGAAATAAAAGAAATGAAATGAAATTAAATAAAGTCAAATAAAATAAAGCAAAAAAAATCAAATAAAAATAAATGTATAAATTGATATACAGCTATAATCATGTATATAATACTTTTGAGCAAAACAGGGTCCACGTTAAACATGAACGCAGAAATATTGCCTGAATCACTAAAGGTTAAAAGCATAAGCTCTTATGTAAATATGGACTACCCTGCAGCCACCTTGCGTCTTCACGTGTGTCTTATAAGAGCACACACAGGAATATGCACATTAATTACAATAACAACTGACGCATATGTGCATATCTTATTTTATAAGTGCATACGAGTTTATCCCTGCCACACAGTTTCTGTGCGCTCTTCGCAGCGTGACCTTTACTGCTTATCTTCTTGTTCTTCGCCTTTAACATACGTATGCGTATGCGTATACTTACCCGCGAGCGTAGTTGTGCCAAAACTTCGGCAATGTCGCCATGTTGACATGCATACATAAGACTTGTGCAGCCACGCGCCAAACGGCTTTTCGAGCCGCCCTCAAACAAGCTTTCATTGCCAACCTTGGTAGCTGTTGCAAGTACTGTTGTTGTTGCATTTGTTGTGGCTCCCCTTGTCAGTGCAGCTGCTGCTGAGTTGCGAGCTGTCAACGCGGCGTTGCAGATGTTTTTTATAGCCGTCGCCGGTGGTGTCGCAGGAACTGCTGACTGTATCTCACTGACACTATCACCAGCCACCGCGGCCAGCGTCGTGGGGTTGTTTATGTTGCTGACGTGTTTTATGCTCGTTGCATGCTTCTTGGTAGCAGCTGCAGCCTTGCAGTCATCTCTCACATATGCAGGTTCTTGGCTGGCGGTTAATCGCGTAGAGACGCCTGTGAGCGGACTTTGGAATTGTAGTCGCTTTTTGGGCTTGCCGTTACTCGATGTTGACTCTTTTCTGGCTTTCAAAGTCATGGTGAAGTCTGCTGCTGCTGCACTTGTTTGCTCTTGCACCTCTGGTTTGGGGTTGTTGTTGCTGCTGGCCTTCAAACGCGGCGGCTTTTTGGGCGCTTCACCGCCGTCGGTATGCGCTCTGTGTTGTTGCGGCGCTTGTGTCCAATCCATTATCATTGTTTATTTTTAGCCTGCTATCTTTCTTTATTATTCTCCGCGCGCACTTTTCGTCGTCTTTTGTATTTTGTGGTTTTAAGTTTATTATGCACTTTACGTTTTTCGTTTGAGTGGGTCTCAGTCATTTTCGCTTAATTGGCCACATTGTAAAAAGTTAGTTTCAAAAATAACTAAAAAGACTATTCGTGATTAAAGTGTGTTGATTCATCGAGCTGCGGTGGGAGTTATGGTATCAGTTCGATCACAGAGTCAACGGTAAGGCCTTAGCTAATAGGGAGTATTCCAAAATACTACACTTGACATGAGAAGTAAATGAAAATCTGATGTTGAAATTGTATATACGCTGCATATAAGCCAGCTCAATAATTTCCAAAAAAAAAAAAAACCTACATTATATATTCCAATTTCGATTACGATCACGATAAGCATATATGGAGCATATGATCTCTGGAATGTGCAATTCTTTTATTGGCACTGCACAGCTCGTTGATGTCCTCACTACCACCCAGGCAAGTCTATTGTTGGAGTAATAATGGGAGAGAGGATCACACATCGAGTACAATAGTCCGCCCCCGGGACGAAGGTTTCGCTACAATCCAAATCCCGGTGGAGATAAAAAGCGATATGACAAGCGTCAAGAATACACCACCTAGAAGAGAGCACCCATAAAGACATCAAAATCAGGCTAGGTGATTTCAACAACTTGGCGAAAAGAAAGGCTTTTTCTACAACGACCGCCCGCTAATGGCTTGAGACGCTTCCCCGCGGTCTTCACAACGATTCGGAACACTACTTTGTAGCAGCCCCGATACGCATTCACCTTTGTACCGTCTAGAACTCCCATCAATTACTTCAGGGATCAAAATATTTTAATCACAGCCAAGCAGTTTCGTAATCGGCTCGCACTCCGGCACTCACAGAACACTCCTCAGCAAGTGGGCTTAGGAGAACTGTGGAAAATCAATTCCTATATAGTATTTTCACCTGCGTTTAAATGTGAGGTGCAGCGCAGTGACGACGAACTTTGTAGATTTGGAATAGTAGTGAGGACAGGATATCCCTCCACTGCCTGTAATTCAGCTGGAAAAATCCCTTCCAATCTTTGGAGTTTTAGATTTTTAGCCCATTGCATCCTTTTGCACCGGAGGATTTCGCCAATATTATATTAAGACCCATTTGTCTTACGTGGGATAACGTTTAGGTCATCGGAATAGACCGGAAAATGAGTGTTCAAAACATTGAAATTTTTTCTTTCTTTTTGCGAATACGCAGAGGACAGGACAATATTCCAGCAAAGCAAAAATTACCAAAATTTCCTTCAAATATTCAGAAATGCGTGAAAATTTCATGTCGACACATTTTTACCAGCTTTCATCTGTATGTACGTATGTGATTACTTATATACGTGAGGGTGAGTATGTAATTGTATGCAAACTTATAAATATATCCTAGCGCCAATATATGTATATACATACATTTATATATCGTATATATATATATATATATGCATGCCTTATGCATGTAAAGAAATTCTCCTTAAAATCGCTTTTACTTCACTGAACTCGATTGAATCGCATTACAATCAGCTTAAAGTCTTTTGCTCCTTTTCAACGCTTGCCAGCGGCATTGAAAATCCAGCGCGCTCGACTTACTTTCTTCACTCACACACACCACACACACACACACAAACTCACATACTTATCTGCGAGGGAAGCTGTTTGCCAAGTACGCTTTTAAATAATTAAGAATTCTCATGCACAAATTCCCAAACAAATACTCGAACACATACACACACATCTTTGCTTTTGGTAGCATACACGGGGAGAGTGGGAAAATTGTTAAAGACACATTCGTTGGCGGTGGTTTTCGAAATTTCCTTGCGCGCTATCCAACTATCAAACAGATATACAAAAACAAAAAGAATGTGGGTGAAAAAAATACAAAATCGATGTCACCTTGTGTCGCATTCAATTTAACGTGCGCCACTGCTCTGACTCTGGCTTGGCGCTGTCTGCGCTGATCAATTTACGCCCGCGACTTTACGCGTCTCATCGCATGTGTGGCACGTATTCATGTGCTCGTATGTGTAAGGTAGTGCATGTGTGTATGCTCTTGCGTGTGTTTGTATTTGTGTGTGTGTGTGTGTGTGTGTGTATGCGTAATAAAGTTAATCGCGTGGAAAATAGTTTTCACTAGAACTCGAGCGCAACAAAGCAGAAACCGAAATCCATTTAAATATATTCCGTTACGGTAAACTCCAAACATAGTCTTGTGCCTGTATATGTGTGTGTATGGCCAACATTTCAAAGGTGTTTGCCCACCAACACCTCTTTGTGCGTTGGAGTTTTGGCCAAAAATTTAGTTTTCTTGAAAGTTATCTTCTTCTTATTCTGCTTACGAACGTTTGTGCGGTTGTGTGTTTGCTATTATTAATTTTATTATGGAATATTTTTAGACATTTCATAAGTTTTAATGCACTTCGTCCCAAAAGTATAAAAATAACAAGAGTTGAGTTGAGTTTAATTTTGAATTTAAGTTTTCATGACATTTTTCTTGAGTCTGATTTCAAAATTACTTTTAAAAGTATCGCGTGCCCGACTAGTACTCTGAATTGGCTCTTAACAAGCACTTCGCCGAACTCCTGTCTTCCAAATGTGTATTAGGCAGATGGAAATATCCGGAAGTGGCGACGAGTGAGCTCCTCAGTGGTTCGATCGAAGGTGGAAAGGTCAACTAGAAAGTTTTTTTACACCTCTCCTTCTGCTGTGTCACCTTTAGAAAAGGTTAGTACCGTGATTGGATCTCACTGAAATCGTGGATAACTTCAAAAGTGTTGATCTCTAGGGAGAACAGCAGAATTCCTATTGACCGAATAGGAAAACAGTGGCCCGCGATCATAACCTGGACAGTCATATCTTACTTCAGCTTAAAAGACAGTGAGTTAATCCCAAAATGTATGCGTTTGCAAGATCCTCCTGGTTTGAAGCGTTTTGTAAATTATAAGAAAATCTAGCCACTCGGCTCCGCCGTCACTGTCTAGGAGTCTTCGAGAGAAAAGTTTTGCGAACGATTTACGATTCTTTGCGCCTTAGTAACGGTGAATACCACAGACGAAGGAACGATGAGCCGTACGAGCTACATGATGATATTGACATAGCTCGGCTAATCAAGAAACATCGACTGCGTTAGCTAGGTCATGTCGTCCGAATGGATGAAAGCACTCCCGGTTTGACAGTATTCGATATAGTAGCCGCTGGTGGAAGCAGAGGAAGAGGAAAAATGTAACCAGGTTTCACTTGGTAATTTGGCCAAGGCCTATGAAGGAGAATGTCGAAAATAATGCTCTCCCGGCATCCTTCTCCTCTCCATTGATATATTTGCCATCGCTGTGTCATTTTGAGTAAACGACACGATCACACGTACTCGTCACGAAGATGGGAAAATGAAAACGAACGCGACGCGATAAAATTTTGCGCTAAATTGGGCGAAACAGCTTCGGAAAAGTACGCTAAAGTTATAATAGTGCATAGCGATAGTGCTCTTAGTCGTGTCCAGGTTTTTCGATGGCATAAAGAGTTTAAGGAGGGGCGTGAAAGCATAGAAGGTAAAACGATGATTATTGCCTTCTTTGATAGCCGTGAAATCGCCCAAAAAAGATTTCCTCCACCAGAGCAAACCGTAAATCGAGTCTACCTACTATCGCCAAGTACCCAAAAGACTTCGAAAACGAGGCAACTGGGTGCGTCCAGATATCGCTCGCAACTGGATCCTTCATAACGACAACGCGCCGTGCAACACCGCCCCAGTAATTGGCCGCTAAAGGGATTTTTGTATTGCAACAACCGCCTTTATCGCCGGATATGTCATCATGTTCCTTTGTTCACTAGAAAAAAAACCGATGATCAAAGGAATCCATTTTTAGTCGATTGAAGACATCCAGGCGGCCGTGACGAGCGTACTCGCGGACATCCCAGTCAAAGCGTTCTAGAAATGTTACGAATCATGGAAAAGGCGCTGGAATCGGTGTATAGCTGCCCAAGGGGACTACTTTGAAGGGGTTGGCAGAGTTAAAGAATAATTTTGAAATAAATGGGTTTTTATGGAATCTGTGTCATTGCTTAAAAACTTCGATGCCAATTGATTTGTAGTTCTTTCTAAAAATCTCACTCTTAACCTTTCTGCGTAGAAATTTAAGCAGCTCTACTCTACTCAACTAGAACTCTGCATGTTGAAGAAGAAACTAAGTTCATACTGAGTAGAGAAGATAAAATATTTGGACTGATTGAGACCAGTTATAGTCCCTGATCAAATCCTATTTTAAAGTTTGGTTTAGTCTGGATTGTCTGGGTTAGTCTGGTCTGGGTTAGTTGTTAATAACTTTTTTACTTGAATATAAATACATGAGTTCATGGCTTCACAGTCTGGCGGTTAAAAAAGTTGACTCTTCCATAAATAAGTAGTTTCCACAAATTTCCTATTCCATTCAAAACCGAGACGGAAAAGAAACATAAGAAAACTACAATAAATCTGCAAATAGATTTTCATACTTTTATTCTTCGCTGAAATTCCTTGCTACATGTATGTTTGTGTGTGTTTCTGCATTTTTTTTACTGACGCTTAAACTTCTGCTTTCCACTATTCCTCTACTGATATTTACTATGCAGACAACTTGCCGAGCAAGTGTTAAACGCTCAAGAAACATGAAAAGAATAAGACGACAAAAAAGCAAAAAAAAAAAACAAATTTTTATATAAATTTTTGCATAAAAGCACTGAATAAATTTCGGAAAAAGTTGAGGTAAACTTGATAATGGTATTTATGGCGAGGAAGTTGCCATAAAGACCGAAATAATATACAAAATTTTCGAAAAATTTCAATGAAGAAATATTATTTAACAGCTACGCTTCAGTTTTCAGTGAGTTCGAGGTTTGGAAGTGCTTACCGAGTGGCGATGATAAAAAGAAGAAATAGAAATACTGACTACCGAAGCAGCC